TTTATTCTGATGCGGATATTAAAATCTTTTTACAACCAGGAGTTGACCGAGTTCCAGCCCTTTTAAAGGTTCACTACAATAAACGTTTGCACAGCAGTTTCAACAATGGTTCTTTGTACTACCGAAACTGTCGCGATGCACGGATACTGTTTCACCTTATGAAACGGAAAGTGTTATGCATTTCCCAGTAAATTGACCATACTTACATACTACATTTTGGTTTTAGACCTTAAACATACCTTAAAATTTTGTCAATGATACTTTCTCTGTGACCTGACAACACTGTGCTGTCAAGACTTCTTTTCGTCACCTTAATTATTATTAGATCAACGAGTTTTATCAAGGTTTTAAATGTTTCTCTACATTTACATTGTTATAATAATACAAGACACGTGGATGTCTTTCCAGTGCGCGTGCTGGAAATTAGTTCACTCTCGTTACAAACTCGAAATTAGAAGGTCAATACTTTTAGTTTTATTTTAACATACGCGCAGGTGTAATTTCGCACTTTACATAAACAATAGAACCTTTGTACCGATCAATCAATTTCAAAACTGCGCGTTTAATTAATACGTCCTTGACTGAATACTATTTATTTCAACAACTAAACACAGAAATTTAGTGTAACGTTCCGTTCTCCTTTTTATCCGGCACAGATAATTTCTTAAATTAAGAGAAATCAATTTCTTCTTTTTGCCAAACTTTAGCTTCCGCGACACAATTGCCCATATGAATAAAAGGGAGCATATGCTTATACTTTCAAAATTCAAAGTAAATACTCGTAAGTGCTCCTTCACACTGGGAGACTTAGCAGCGCTGCTGAGCATGGGCGACTTAGCAGTGCTGCTGAGCAGCAGGACAGGACGCAGTGCAGCGCTGCTAAACAGACCAGTATGAAGGGGCACTTACGAGTATTTATTTTGAAGTTTGCAAGTATAAGCATATGCTCCCTTTTATTCATACGGGCCATTTACTTCTCCGCTATACCCTATGTAGTTTGATTTATTTGTTTGGAATATAAAACGCATAGTTTGATGTAAGAATATGATATTTTAACTAGGTACAATCATAGTGTATCTATTCTTACACTATGGTACAATTATATTAGCGATTAACGATAAAAAGAAAAAATTAAAACCTCCCTGAAACCCTTTTCCCTCCTTCCCGGGAGTGTTAGAGTGTTAATTGTCAGGTTTTAGTTTCTCAGTGTGTCTGTGATCGAAATTACGTTAGTGTAATATTATCAATTACGACTGATCCATAATTATCTACTGGTAGTGTCATTGAACACCCATTATGTGCAAATTATGCGGTTAAGGATCGAGTTTAATTATTACAATGACTAAAGGTGTCTTATTATGCCTGCTTCCCAGAACTTTTTTAAATAATGACCACTGTATTTGTAATAAATGGTACTCTGTATTTTTCTTGAAGTAGAAGTATGGAATAGCCTTTCATTTATTAATCACGCTTTAGATTTTGTTTTATAGTGAAATGGAAAACAACATACAGACGTTGCCATCAATATTCCTTATGTAGCCATAATGTTCCTTAAATCTCTTCTGTTCCATCTACTGTACCAAAAATATGAAAAGCAAACAAAATTTATTTACGTGAGCTCCAACTATGTATAGCATCAGTAAATATAAGCCCGAAACGCTGCTTTCTTTTTCTATTCAATCCATTTTATTTGTCTCATAAATATCAAATAAATTCGTTGCTTTCCAAAGAAATCTTGTGAAATGAGCTGCGCCAAACTATTATGCTTTTATAGAAATGGGCAATAATTTTAGGTATCCAGTGATTTGTTGAGCACATCTGAGCGTTTTCCCAAACCTCGTGTATTACATACGTATAGGATGTCGCACGCAAAGCATCCGGAGAACCAATTTAAAAATTGGACACCGACCGGGTCTGGATTTATACTCGGGGAGAAATTTAATTAACCCTTACAACCACAGCTTTATCATGCTACGTCATTTTATTGTTCATATATTCGCATCTTTCTGGATTGGTGCATGATGATGGCTGTATAGTCGAAACGAGCTTTTATAGTACAATAACTAATTATTCGTTTTTCTATGACATTCTGCGCCTTATACAAGCCAATTTCAGGGTTCCCCGAGTGTGTAATTATTCATATGTAAAAATTAGGTACTTATGCCTATGGGAGAAAATTTTCCGCTCTAACAGGTATTCTAAAAATCAATTTAGCTCGATCAAAACTTACGGATTTTCTTTACTAATTATGAAATGAAAATTTGGGACCCTATGGAACATAGTTCTTTCAAAAATTATATGGACTCGATAACTTTACGCTGCCGTGGACGTTTTAATAGCTGATTCTTTTTTTTTGAAATTAGGCACCAATTGTGAAATTCAACACTTTGGTATTTTTTTAAATGATTTGTTCATAACAAAAGTTAGGCTCCAATTATGCACAGTTTTGCACCATTGGAATTTTGTGCCGTGAAAAACTCTACGTAATCTCGAATTTCTCTATTGACAATGTTTTTATGCAAAAATTAGGCGTTTTTGGAATTAATTTTGACACTGCGAAAAATTATTTATTTCAAAAATTCAATTTTACCAAGCCTTTTTGTATTCCTTTAGGTAAAAAATCAAATTACTCGGGAAAACTTTCCGTATCCTTTAATTTTTTTTATTAATCATTATTACTTATGGAGAAATTAGGCACTTTTCCACTGTGTTCAAGATAAGGATGTCTATCATGTGGATTTTGGAAACCGTCGAATTACGAAAAAGTTGCGCAATTAAAAAGGGTAAATAAAACCAGATTTTCCTACTACTTTCTAAGATACGCCACAAGTTGGAAACTGTTGGTTTCAACAGAATGGTGTACCTGCACACAACGTCCTAATCGTCCAGGGACACCTATCACACAAATTTCCTGGAAAATTGAAAATATGGCCGATTGGTACACTCGCACGGGTTGTACAATTCGCGCTCGAATAATTCGCTCCTACAACAAAAATTCACGGTTTTGCTCTTGCAAAAGTACACGTTTCTATTATCTCAATTCGGCCTACCAGATAATGCATGATGGTTTTCAACTGTTTTAGCTTCAAAAGGTTTGTGTTTTCCGCTTCGTGCCTGTACACTTGGTTCCAATAGTTAGGAAATGTTCGTCAATTCATAGTTTTCTTCAAGCTTCTCTAAAGCTTTTTCAAATCTCTACATCCCATTTTCTTTCAAAAATCCATTGTTACTTACATCGAATCTTCCCCTCAAGTTTTCTTCTACTTGATCTACAGTTCCTGTTAAAATGTCCTTAAATCCTTCTAATGTTTTCTTCATACTTTCCCTAAGCGGTTTCCCTTGGCTCTCGAGTTATTTTTCATCTTTCTAACAAATTCTTCGTAGCCTCCTATCCAGTTTGCCTAAAATTCATTCTTAAAATAATATTTTGGGAGACTCGGTAGCCTCGATCAACTTCCGAAATTCGAAAGAATTAACTACACAAATTTTTATTAACACCCAACAAGAAAAGTATGAAAACTATCGAGTCGCACAATGGATTCGAATAAACACACCCACACGATTAATTGATTGACAATAACAAAAATTTATTCCGAAACAAAGAAAATCAAAACAAAATACCTATAAGAAAGAAAAACTTACAAAGTTTATTTGGACATGTTACCTCGCGTGCAGGCGGTCGTCAATTAAAATAGGAAATCTAAAAAAGCTTGGCGAAAAAGGTGACAAATTTTCGGTGAACGGTAGAAACTATTGACTTTTAATAAGAAGAGAATCATTTAAGGAAATACTGCGTTAATTAGATTTCACGTAACAACAAAACGCCTTATCACAAACAACTAGATGTGTCTACTTTATCTAAATTGAATAATATACAAAAGGAATAACATTTAAAACAATTCTAAAAGGAAAAAAATACGGATATACAAATTCAAGTAAAATAAACCAACTTATTGGTAAATATCCCCCAAGATTTACTTCATAACTTAAAATATTCTCATATACAGGATGTCCCGTAATAATTTTTGGTGTTTCGGTTAATCGCTTTGTGTTAAATAACAATTAAAATTGCAATGTGGAAGTATTTACGCAACAGTGCTTCCATCTACCCTTGTCCGAAATCTATTCTGATTTAATTTAACCCCAATCACCTGAATTAAAGATGTTAATTGTCTTTTTAATTAGGTAATTTTTAGGTACTTAACAGCGAATGTGCTAATTATTAAAGCAGTATTTAATTATTATTGTTGTAATACCGCGAATCACCTATAGGCTATAAGTCAGATCGGTTTAGCCTCGGGTTTAGCATATTCAGTCTCAGGTGGGAAAGTTTTCAAATGCAGGGTATTTTCATTTAACTATGAAAATGAAACGTCTCGACGATTTGCAACTTTCTTAATGCGCGCTCGTAAACGCATTAAGCGTTCCGTACGGAATCCCCATGCTGGAGAACTATAAGAAAAGTCGTCAAGTTGAAATTATCGATAACGATTCGGTCTACGTATACTTAAGTTCCTCTTCAAACCTCTTAACTATGTGTTGGAAATTTCTTTATCAAAGTTAAAGCACTCGTATTACGTAAGGGGTAACTCGTGAAAGATTTCGATCATTTTTCGAATGGGGCGAATTAAATCTCGAGAAACATTTTGCAGTAATTGAAAGATCGAGATTTCTTATAGAAAAGTTGCTCGAGTGGTGCACGGTCATTACGAATCGCTTGAACGGCGTTTCGTTTAAACAAAAAATCCGGAATATCTTTTGTTGTGGATGTTCTGGAAATTGTAGGCAAGTCAACAAATTAAATATGTTTTTGATATATTCCTGGTGCAGTACCTATAATGAAGGCAATTCTTAGGCTCTTTGATGTTTTTATATCAAAAGGAAAAGTGGATAAATAAATTTCCGACCCAAAACGTAGTGCGGTATGACAAAGATTTATTTTCACGTTAAATTTATTGATGAAAAAGGTTGGATTAGGTGCTGATTGATTTTTCCTTCTTTTGCAGAAAGAAAATTGTTTGTTGGAATGGTTAGCAAGAAGTTATGTGAAAATGATGTGAGGGCCATGTTTAGCGCCCACGGGACCATTGAAGAGTGTACGGTGCTTCGCGATGCAAGTGGACAATCGCGGGGTTGCGCCTTCGTTACGTTTGCCAGTAAACAATCCGCTTTAAACGCAATTAAAGGACTCCATCATTCGCAAACAATGGAGGGATGTTCGGCGCCTTTAGTAGTGAAATTCGCGGACACGCAAAAGGAAAAGGAGCTCAAAAGGCAACAGCAAATGCAGGCTAACGTTTGGAACGCTTTACAATCAACCCCCCAGCTACAAACGCAAATACAGCAGCAGCAGTACGGGACAATTTTGCCCAGCGATACGACGTCGTTACAGCTTTTGCAAGCCGTCGGTGGTTCGGCGCTCTTGCAACAGCAGCTGCTGGCCGAAAACTTTTTGGCTCCTATCGGTGTTCAAAATTTAGTAACTCTTGCGGCAATGACTCAAGGGGGATCGTCCCCTCTCTGTATGCCTAGTATTCTTAGTAAAAGTGTAGGTGGTGATAGGGGACTTACCACTAGCCTTCAACCTAGTATAACAACATCGACCGAACTAACAAATTACGGATCGTTTCTAAATAACGCCACACTTGCGGCGGCGGCCGTCGCGGCGGCAGGCAAGCAGATGGAAGGTAAGTTACGGTAAGCCATGCTGCGTTTTAGTGGCCGAAATATCGTTCATTTTCGATTTGTGTTATATTAATTTACATTAATTTAACAGCAACATGTTCTACTTTAGAGTTAACGGTAGAGAGTTGGGATAAAGTTTCGAAACTTGCTCTGTATAGCAGGAATGCGGCACCAAGGGATTTTGCCCGTAGTTTCGGAAAGTTAAGTTCTCAGTTTAACAATTAAACATATTCAGATGTTGCGAGAATATTACGGCCCGAATTATATTATAATTTCAGGTGTATGAAACTTAATTTAAAGTTTGTAGTTGGGACTATAAAAAGCGGGGACCGTTCAATAGGAAAGTACTTTCAGTAACAAACTGTACAAGTTTTTGAATGTGTGTGCGCGTTCCGTTAATAAATCGATCGACTAAGCATTCCCTTTGAAAAGTTCTTCGGGATTTGAAGGAATTGTCATTCTTTATGTTACATTTTCGCTATAGCCCAGCTTCACGTATGTTTTGTCTTCATCTTAATAATAGCCGCATTTGTCATCATAAAGTGCCATCTCCCAAAGTATAACTAACAATTAACTAAAACATGCTTTACTCTAACAATAATATCGAATAGAAAGTCAATGAACTTAATCAGTAACTTGGTGGGTTTATACAATCATTATCATTAGTTCATTATCATTATATCATTAAGGGATAGCCAATAGAAACAAGTGTATGGTTTCGTTGGTTACCGACGCACAGTAAACTTTTGTTTCTATTCGCTATTTTTTTTAATGATGGTAATGATGTATAAACCCATCATTAGTGTTATCCACAAAAGTGATATTTAAACAAAACGGTTCTCGATGCCAAAAGCTCAAAAATAGTGCCAGCTACACTTGGAGGGGGGGGGGGGGAGATGCGGCACCGCGGTAACTGTATAATTAAAAACTACCGAACGTTGAATCAATATTTTGTATTGGATGTTTAGGAATGTTTCCAAAAGTGTGATCTGACACCCACCCCACCCTTGGTTGCTCTACATTTTTAGGTAATTGTTATTGTTACCATTAAACTCTGTAGTATAATTCAACTAAAAATTGTTTATACTTTATTCCATAACACTTTTGTTAAACTAACTTCATTCTTCGAAAAGTGCCTTCTAAAAAGAAAGGAAAGAAATTGTATAGGGTTTTTCAGTAATTTTGACCTCCTCTTCTTTTCATTAATTTTGCTGTAAATAAATGTTTTACTATTTTATGTGTAATGAGTTAATGACTAAAAGTGTAGTAACTGATTGAATTTAATATGCACGGAGTGCCCAACAAAATACGTTTTCAATATCTTTTAATAGGACACCCTGGATATTTTTATAGTTTTAAGTAGCCCTGGATTTCCCGATTACAAATATACAGCGTGGCCATTATGTACGGAATATAGTAAATATCTCGGTATATAACGACTGGATATAAGTTTTTCTATATAAAAGTTGTTTAATATTTTCTTATCCATAATAAGGCAGCATTCAAATGAGTGAGTAACTGAATTTTTTAAAATACCATTGTACTTTTTCTTTAGAGTCATTTGATAGAGATTTTTTTCTCTCGTAACATGCTAGCACCCTTATATGTACAAGAAATACAATGGCGAACATTTTAAAACATTTGGAGGATGTCTATCATCTCCGAAACCATAGGAGAGACGACGATAGTCCAATTGGAGAGAAGATGTCTAATTAAAAATTTATTACGCTCTAAAGAAAAACCCGATTTGTTTTTTTATATTTTTCTGGTGATACAAAAAAATTTAAAATACACTTTCGCATTGCCACCTTTTGAGCTCTACATGTTTTTGTTTATTTTTCTGGATGTGGCCAAATTAAGGAATAATATAATCGAAATTAGTCAGTCAATTTCGGTTTTTATGGCGTATCTTCGAAAGTAATGGAAATTTTCCCCATCTTGGGCGCAGTGTATATTTGTACTCAGGGCTACTCAAAATTAAAAATATATAGGATGTCATGTTAAGGATATTGAAATTTACATTTACATTTTTAGTCTGTATAGATAAAATACTAAAACTTTTATTTGAGACACTTCGTTTTCAAGATATTTCCTTCCACTTCACCAGCAGATATGTCTCGTCCAGACAAATCATTTTGCTTTTGTGGGTACGCCCGACATACCATTTTCGAGATATTCGCTCTTAAAGTTTTGACAGTATCAATAGATATATTGCTTCCCGGCGTCCCAATCGCTCTTTGTGGGTACTCTCCTCCGACAATCTGTTGTTGAGATATAAGGAAATATGTATATCCGATGACGATAAGGGGTAGAGGGGTGGTAGAAATAAATTCCTTTAGTTGACACCTTTGATTATAGTACCATGAATGATAAAACCAGCCCCCCCCCCCCCAACCGCCTGTTTTAATAAGTCAGAAAGTCAGAGTCAGTTTGTAGAAAACAGTTCCTTTTTTTGAGACCTGTAATTAGAATACCATGAAAGATAAAATTAATTTCTACCCCCTCCTCCCTATCCCTGCCCAGCTACTTATCTCTAAAAGGAGTCGCACAGGAAAGTTATAGTTTGTATAACCCAATTCATTTCGATGAGACCTTTCATTAGGATACCATGAAGGGTAGAACGTGTTGTGTTCAACCCCTCCCCAAATTTTCCCCAAATTTTCAAAATTTTTACTTGTTACCGCTAAATGCATACGTATGCAAAATCTGGGACCAATTGGTTGTCACATGTAAAAGCGAAATTTGATGACCGTCTGGCACACCTTCAAGGTATAGGCTACCTGTTGCAAAATTCCAAGACGCTAGGACCATTCCCTTAAAAGTAGTTCAAAACCGCAGAAGTGGGTCCGGACAGACGGACAAAACATAAAAATGCGATAAAAATGTCTTCAGCAACCACCGATAACGCGGTGGCGGGTCCAAATTCCAAGATGGCGAGTTTTAATTGGCATCCAAGATAGTGGACCGACTATTAAAGTACCCCGGGCAAACTTCCGAAATCTCGTACCCTGGGCTAACTGCCGAAATATGATCTTGCACGTCAAAATTTGACATTGAACACTAAGCTAACTGCCGAAATTTGACATTGCACCCTGGATAAACTTTCGTAATTATTATTAATAATAATTAATCTTATTCTTATCTTATCTTATTCAAGAAAGTGCAGGGTTTTTTTTTAAACAATTTTTAAAGCAAAGTCTCTTTTTGCTTAGGTATACATATAAAGTGGGCACGGATCAGTCGAATTTAGGGGTGTTTGGGCACTAAAATATTTAAATTTTATGATCGATATTGAATTACACAGATCGGCCTTTAAATAACGCCATAGATTTATACAAAACTTTCATTTTTTTTAAATAAAATTTAAATTTAGTGGTTTTCCTTTGGCGTACGAAATATCGAGGGACAACTCCAATTTAGGAGTGTTTGCATATTAAATTAAATCCAAATATATCAACCCTTAAATAACGGCAATCAAATTTATACACATACCCGTAGGTTTCATTATTTTGGAAATACTTTTAAAATATAATGGCCGTTTTTATTAAGTGAATGTGGACTTGGGGAGGGATTAATGCCTCTGTACTGAAGTATCTTCTACAGTTTATTTCTCGGTTTATTTAATTGTGTGTATGTGTTAATGTTCATATAAATGTAAATAGCTAGTAATTTTGAATGCCTAGAAAATATTTTTTGTTCCAATATTTCGCATGTTTATAGTTTGAAACTTTTTAAACTATTAGTTGTTGGTAAAAATATTGGGGAAAGTATGGATTTGCATAGATGACATGTAATGAAATTTGAATTCTGAAAAATGAAGCCTCCGATTGGATTTGCCCCTCCTTATAAATGTCTTAGCATGATTTATATGGATATTGCTAACTTTAGATATACTAAACCACGGCATTCCTAACGAGCAAATAGAACCGAACTTTACCCGACTTGAAACGCACTTTAATCGAATTCCATCCAAAATTAAGCGAAATAGAAATTTGTATCCAATTGAACGATATTGAACCATTCAATCGAAATTGAACCCAATTTAAGTCGAAGACTTACAAAGTAAAGAGCAGACAAGGGTCAAAAAAAGGTGGGAATTGTGTAAAGTAAATGTTGCAAATTATGAAGAAAATTGGCGAATCGTTCCCATACAGCCGAAGGGAGAACCATCTAAATAACCGTGACTGCTTGTAAAAACTATCGGTCTAGTAGGATTGTATCTTGAGTTTTTAACCTGGGAACTAGGATTTTAAATAATGAGTCTTTGCATTGGGTTCTTTAATCATGATCTGGATCGTGAGTCCAATGTCGTGAGTTTTGAATGATAAATCTTGAAAGATGAGTCACGAATCTTCAAGCTCGAACTAGGTACGAATTCAAGCCTTGATTGCACAATGTTAAATCCTGATGAGTGTATTGAATCTCACACGTTAAATTTTTAATCTTTATCTCTTGAATCAAAAACCTTCCCCCTGAATGTAGTATTTCGCATAGTGAACACTTCAGGAATTGTGTTACAATTACGAACGAACTATTCGGGAGATTTGGCATTGCCATTTTAATGCAGCAGCCCCCCCCCTCCTCCTCCAGTTGAATTTACCACTTTCACATTGAATTTTATACATGAAATGCCAGCTAATTGCTTCCTTAATAATTAAATGGCAGCAACTAACTAGGGAAATGCGCCCATTATTGTCCAGAATGTTGTGTTATGTGATGGTACTAACAAGGCACTAGCTAAAGTGTAATGGCGTTCCTAATCAAATAAATTTTGTGGGGTTGGCTATAAAATATCTATAATGTAATTGACTTAAAAATGCCTGAAAGATATTATTTGCTAAAAGTAGGTATACCTACAGGTGCACTTTTCAATTCTGCGTCGCAGGGAATATGGATGAGTAAAAACTGTCAGTTTTCGTAACTGCGAAGTTGTAGGTGGGTCGGAATTCTTGGATCAACCTGTCAGTTGTCCACGGTGGATTGCCCGGTTCTCAAATATTTTTAATCAACTGTGATGGACGGTGAACCTGTAGGTCTGGATTAAGATGCGTTTTGACAGGTCACTTCCGGCAGGCGGATTTGACAAGTAAACCTGTAGGTGTGTACCTACCTTTACTTTGACGTTGGTTGGAAAATGTTTGAAGCAGCAAGAAGCATTAAAAAAGGAACATTTATATGGAAAGGAATTCCTTTTCTAGTCGGCATAGAAACACATCTTCCCATTGGGGCTAAAATGCCACAAAAAGTTAACGCTTTCCACTTTTTGCGAACCCTCGCGAATCTGAAACCCCACTGAATTTTTTTTTATTTCGATTCTCAAACCTTAGTAACATATTTTAAAATCTCTTGATGCATTCAAGTTTTCTTCCGTACGTGCTTCCAGAAGGTTTGCGTAAAACCCGGACCCGAATCTGGACTTTGTAGGTAAAACACGGACCCGGACTTGGTGAGTTCTTTTTTTTTATATTTTTGTGAATCGAAACATCGAAGCCATAATGACGATCCTTTTTTTCTTTTTTCGGTTGGATTTAACCCCTCTGTGCGTCAAATGCGTTCACCCCATTAGTTACATTAGTAAAAAGGGAAATTAATTTCTTTTACCATTATTCGCTGTATTAAGTTTTATTGTTTTTTTTAGGCGAACGCTATAGCGGAAGCGGAATTTCACAAAAAAAACGTTCCCTAAATCAGAAAGTTGTATCTGATTGTATGAGGTCGCCTGTGTATTTTTTTTTTGACAATTTATTTGGAGGTGTTTTTAGCACCTTAAAACTACATTATTATTTTAATTATTTACAGTTTATTAATTAGGTTCGTCGCTTTAAGGTACTGGACTGTGGCAGTAAGTGTAGCGGAGTCATTCGAATTTAGGGGCTCCTGGAGATTGTTGGAAACTCCAAATGACCGACGAGGAGCAGCATAGGTGGGACACTCCAACATAATCCTTTGCATTTTTACCGTTCCCGATACAGAGGCATCCTTGTAACTTTTGTCCCTATTGATGGGGACAACAAAATCAATAGCTTTCTTTCCCAAACTGTAAACAAACCGCAGTCCAAATTTCGATCAAGCGGCGGCTGTTAAAAAGAGTTTTTGCTCTCACGGACGGACGGTCGGAAAATAATAAAACTACAAAAGATCTAGTACTCGTAGTCTCTTTCTACAAAATTCCCACCCACAAAAGTGATTCATGACCGTACCTTAGTTCGGATGCAGATCCGGTTTTTATCCACAAGTTCTCGGGCCGGGTTCGGGTCCAGGTCTGGCTTTTACCAATCAAGTCCAGATCCGGGTCCATGTTTTACCTACCAAGTTCGGATCTGGGCCCGGGTTTTACCCAGACCCTGCTTCCAGTGACGTTAGTTACTTTAAACAGCTTGTATTTCAAAATATGGTGGATTACTTCCTTTATTGCACCATGGCAGTTCAATTTCTTATACCTAATTCGACCATGATCTCCTTCTCATTATTTTATATTATTATTCCAATATGCCATCGGATAGATTGTGATGTAGCATACAAAATTATATTTGACCATTTTTTAGATTATCAGTATTATTATCACATAAGAGAATGCGGTGGGCCGGTACCCTATATCTCAAACGCACTGTATAGTTTTCAAAATAGTATCTTTTTTACTAGCCAATGAAGTACTTTTTCAACACTTAAAATAACGTAATTATTTATAAAGTACCAAAATTTTGGTTTCTTTGATTTATTATGTTTAGAAGACCGACAAGTAACCCTTGAAACTAACATAAAAATGTAACGGGCAAGTACCAGTAATGAAATCACGTAATTCCTTAAAATGGATCGTTCTTCTATAGCAATGCAATAGCATGTCTTTCGTGCACAGAAAGGGTTTTAATTCTTATTTCTTAGGGTCGATCAGCTACTTAGTAAAATCTAAGTATAATATTAACATCACGTATTCATTTGAGTAAATTGGCTTTTAGGTGGGATCCCCATTTACTCGGAGGGTTGCAGTTTTTGTTTACATGAAAAAGTGTTGTTGGTTGTGTGGGTTTCTAGTATACCATGCTGCTTGAACACCAATGCCTCATGGAATGAAGGGTTGGAAGCAAGGCTCCCTAGAATTTAAAACCGCTGAAGTGAAGACATATGTTTTATTGATTTTGTAAAAGATGAACTTAAAATAAATTATAAAGTGACCTTTCATCCCTCTCGCCTCCCGTTCACACCCGAGCGTCGGTGGTTTTTATAAACAATTACACCTTATAGATCAAGACTGCATGTCAGTGTCGAAAATGAATTCAAAATTTTGTACAAAAATCGTTTTTTTTTTTAGTTTCCACAAACTCGGTAGGTACTCTCGAATTTTTCTTTCGCATCAATGGTAACTGGTCATTGATAGTAAACGAAAGTAAAAAGAATTGTCGTAACTTTTCACTGCAAATAATACACCGTCGACTAGACAAGTCACGTTGTTTGCTCAATGGGTTTCGACCGGTTTCGACAATCCACCCACTGGCGAGGGATTTGAATTTCTATCCGATTTCTATGAATGGGTGTTCGATCGTAATTGTTTTAATTTAAATTATAGTGAACGAGCACGAGTAATTGGCGTGAAATTGTATAGTATAAGCTGCCTATATGTTAATTTCATCGTACATTGGGTGATTTTATGCGCGTTGTGCACTGGAACTAGTGACTGTTATGGGTTAATTTTAAGGGTGTAACGCTAACGCCATGTGTAAAAGTAAAAATTTCTCGCTTACACATAATATGGTTTGTCGCTGAGTATGTAGTACCTATGTTAACTCTTACCTATAATTCGTTGCTGCTTGTGTAGTTAATATAATACAATGGAGCCCGTTTTGGACCATGTTTCGCACCTAGCGGAAGTATTGCGAAATTTGGCCGAAACGGCATCGGCATAATAGTACATGTGGCATGGCTTATTGTAAATATAATATTTTTGTTTGTAATATGTACTAACACAGGTTATTTTGGTGTTAAAGGTCCAGAAGGCTGTAATTTATTTATATACCACCTTCCGCAAGAATTCACCGATACGGACTTAGCTACTACGTTTTTGCCTTTTGGGCCCGTGATTTCTGCAAAGGTGTTCATAGACAAACTGACTAATTTATCAAAGTGTTTTGGCTTCGTGTCATTTGATAACGCGGCGTCGGCCCAGGCCGCAATAACCGCAATGAACGGATTTCAAATCGGCACGAAGAGGCTCAAAGTGCAGCTTAAAAGGCCAAAGGATTCGTCGAAGCCATATTAACCAAAGAGAAAAAGACAAGAACCGCGCACACCAGGTGCTCCATTAAAATTGTTGCACTCGCGTTCGCGGCATCATCTCAGGATCAACTAGCTGCTATTTATACGAACTGTGAGATATTTTTAATAGTTAACCGCGGCCCGTGCCGTTTGTAATATAATGACGAACGTGGAGGATGTTCAAAGTCATGTTATGTTTTTGGAGTTGTTTGTTTGGTTCGGTAGGTTTGGTAAATTTATGTGTTCTCGTGGTGTAAAGCGCAAACATCCTCTGTTGTTTAGTTATCGTCTCTTTAGTAGGCCAGGCCATATGTATTTGTTGAGTGATTATGTTTAGTTTTCAATCTATAGTTATACCAATGATCAGTTACTTATTTAGGAGCATGATGTATTTGATTTTGATTGTACCTTTTATTTTCTACTATTAATAATTAAACCAAAGTTACACCAAAACACTTTGCTGGAATGATTTTCGCATTGCAGGGTTTCAAATTGTAGTGCTATTCTCTAGCGCGGTAACAGCAGCAGTGCCGTCGTGTGTGGCTTCTGTCTTATGTCTACTAATGTACTTGTCTTCATATACAGTAAGTGCCTCCCTGTACTAACCACCGCTAATTCACTAACTGGCTGTAAACTGACGCACCTTTTCTGTGCGAATTACACATTACGGACAAAACTACACAAAACACAACACTTTAATAGCAGTTTCAACATAGTCCAGTTAAATGGTGCTTTTGCAGTTTCTTTCAACGGTTTTACTTATTTTTTTTGGGTGTTGAATCCGAATTTATTACCTTGCAGGGGTCGGCTTAAATTAAAAATGCAAAAAAATATGCGCTTTTCAAACTGTGTCCAAGATAAGGATGTCTTATCATGAGGATCTCCGAAACCTTCGAAGATACGAAGATGGTCAAATTAGGGAAAAAATGCGTACAATTAAAGAACTACTATCATGCTGTAAAGAAAATAAAAAAAATTCCGATTACTTCGGAAGATGTCCCAGAAAATTTGCCGATTTGGTTTTTATTTTTTTCTGATGCGTCATTTTAGCTTTACAAGCCAGCGATTTTCAATACAACGTTTCTTCGGAGAAATCATCAACTTTATTTTTTTATAAGGCCCATAAAAAAGTACGTACTGTATTGAGTACCATCGGGCATATTTTCCAGGAAATTTATTTTTGTTCAATTCATACTTCAGTGCGCAAATATCAAAAACCAAAGTTACTCCTGTATTTTATTGATACTTTGGTCTATTTTAATTTTGGATTTTGGAAAAAGATTATAGTTTTCCACAGAAAAAAAATCGTTTGTTCGGATTTGGCACCCCAAATCACGTAAAACCGTCGAGAAAAAAAACTTTGGCAATTTTGTTTTAAGCACCAATTGACTGAACCAATATATATTTGTGCACCTCAATTTTTCAATGTTGTAAAAAGTAAATGTGCTAATCTCTTATGTAACCGTTAACGATGTGTGTATAATTTACCTCAATGTTCATATAAGTGTTGATCGCCAACTTTTATTGCCTACTTTTGTACATTATATTACATATAGTTATATAAATACTGTGATACTTGTTATATCATTTAAATAAAGATTTTTTATGATCCCCACTTTAAAATCAAATTCTTATTAGCTCAAGCTCAAAACATTTAACACAATTTCCGAAAACAGAATAACACAAATTATTAAACTAATCCTAAACTAACGGACACGATGTGCTCAGAGCAGTTTAGACACGATGTAGTAATTGTTAAAGTAAACTGCTCCGTGACACTTCGTGCGTGCATACTGAATTGATTGAATATTTTTTTCTTTGTGCAGGGTTCCTAACGGCGCTTATTTTTCGCATCTAAATCGAGGCGAGCCGTCCGAGATCTTGAGCGGAATCGCAAGTACTGATGGTCGCACCAAGGAAATTTGCCACCTGATTCAGAACTTTTAGTACAAAACTGTTTAAGTCTGATTGTTTATATTTTTCATTAAAAAAAGAGCGTAGTTTCTTCTTTATTTTTAGCCCTCCTGGCCATGTCTGAAAAACATCTTCGCTTTAAGCACGTAGATTTAGAATAATTATACCATTAAGGTAAGTATTTGTTTTGTAGGTCAACACGATACATTATGCATGCGACAGGCCATCCTTTAACTTTTTCGAAACGTTTAAATTTAACGAGTTCAAATACTATTGTTAAATGTATAGTGTTGGAACGTATCCCATATTTTTTTACTAACTTTGATTTTGTATTGTTAGTCATTGTATAATTTAGGCAGAACACATCCACTAAATGGGAATGTTCGATATTTCCTGAAAGCTATCGAATTTATAACGCCCATTAGTCGAATTTGAAATTAAAAATTTTGGCATTTATACCGATATTGATCATATAAAAGTGGGCATAAAACTATTACCAACTTCAATCGCCATTTCCGCTATTAAAAATGTTTACTGTAAAATTACTAAACGTTTCTAATACCGTTTGATTAAGAGTTTTGGTAAATTGCGTAGTTTTCCTGATAAAAGAAACATTCTGTGGAATGCAATGCAGCAGTAAGTACGCAGGGTCTTTAGTATAAAGACCCTGTGAAGGATGCACTTTTTCACAATTTAGGGATCTTAATTCTTATGAAACCGTTTTTAGATTGCGTCCAAATTGCTAAATTTTAAGCAAAATATTGAAAGTGGTCTTGGATTACCTTCTAAAGCTTTCGTAAGAATTGAACAGGACTAAAATTTTTTTTATTTTGCAAGAAAATAAAAATAAATTGGCATACATTTTCGTTTGTTTCAATTAAATTTGCTTTGCTCCAGATACAAGGTGTCACAACGAAACATGCTATATAATTCGTAAGGAAATATTTTTGGACAAAAAGAAGTTAACTTTGATTGGAAGGGCGACATCTTTTACTTAAAATAATTTGAAATTGGACGTTGGGTTGAGTGACTCGTCAATGGAAAGGGGTGTTCCGGCCTTCATTTCCTACACGCCTATGGGTTTAGTTGTCAAATTTGAGCGAGTCCTTTAAAGGATACAGGGTGCCAAATTTTCTAGCTTTTACGTGAATGAACACGTGCATAAGAAATAAGCTTCACAAAACAATCCTGAAGAACATAAACCGAAATCAGCATAATGAAACCTCAAAAATTTAGATTCATAAAACCATCTAAAGCTATCGCCATTCTGAGCAACTGGTAAATTATCAATGTTCTATATCTTAAAATAAACCATATAGGCGTGTAGAAATTTTCAATGATGTGTCACTCGACCCAGTGTTCAATTTAAGTTTTTTGAAGGAGTTGGCAACACTGATAGGGGTGTAAATTTTAAAGTAGAAAGGTAAAAGATGAACTCCAACCAAAATTGACCTGTTTTTGCGTTTTTTTTTCCAAAAACTATTGCCTTACGAGGTTATTCCTCGGGTTATTCAGTATCTTCGGTTTAGTTGTGCCACACTGCCACCCAGAGGCGGACTGGGTACTTACGGGCAAGGTGGAATTGAATAGGTTACGGGCCATTAAAGTATTAGTGTAATGAAGATTTAGGGGGGGGGGGAGCACTGCGATGCACCACAAAAACATTTTTGCTTCATTTTAAAGTATTCCTTTCTCGAAAATCAATTAGAATATAGTTTTTTTTAAATTGCAGCTGATAATTAAAAGTAACAAAATATACAAACGAGGCGAGTCGCCTATAATTGTGTTTCAGCACTTGCAAAATACGAGAAAAAATGATAAAATTCATTGTAAAACACTTAAATAAAAACAGAATTTTTTAATGAACAACCTAACATCAACCCCAATGCGAGAAACGTGTTAGTAAGTTATTAATAGCGCAAGAAACTAAATACAGCACATACTTATAAATTTCCAACGGGCCAATATGACCTACAGACCAGTTGGCAATCGCCACCCGCTCCCCCGGGCCAGTCCGCCCCTGCTACCACCCTGTATAAATATTCCGATTATACGCATCTGCCGATATTGGTTTCGTAACATACATTAAATACTATGTGCATAGAAAATTAAAAAAATAGTGTCTATACACGTGTCGTTGAAAAGGATCCTTTATAATAAAGTCTGCCGTTTTTGGATGGTTTCCATTAGAAAAAATGTAGCTTTGTAAATCAAAAATGTATAACTAAATATCAAAAATGTTTCGGAGATTAAAGTCCTTTCGAGTATTTTGTAGGTACGAGTACCTATACTATAATACTTTTATTTGTTACTCAGTTGTAAACGTTGATTAACAAGACAAAACGCAAACGGGTAAACGTCATGTTTAAACGCTACTGACTTGTAAAACTGACAGCAGACTTGTAAAACTGACAGCAGACTTGTAAAACTGACAGCAGACCTGTAAAAATTTTACAAGTTAGTAATCTAGTAATTTCATTGGCCAGAATTAATGCGAAGTCTCTGTTACATGGATAACATGATATTTTAGACCTTTCTTCAAGATTAATTTAAGAACTAATTATTTACGTTTACAAATGAGTAACAAATAAAATATTGTACATTATACGCCAGGTAATAGTTTTTACTGGCTCTAGGAGATGACAAGCTCGCCTAACGGCTCGCTAGTCAACTTCTCCTATCGCCAGTAAAAACTCACTTACCTGGCTAATAATGTAAAATACTATTAGATCTTGCTATGTACCTAATTATTAGAGATTCGATCTCAAAGATTTTTCGAAGATCAAACGGAAATTGTTACTAAAATTCTCAAATGTTTTTTGACGTCTGAGTATAATTTAGATTTAATAGTTATAGTTATTTATGTATCAAGGGCATTAAGACGATATTTATGCCAAGGGCGACAGAGCCCGAGGGATTTAAGTCGCCCGAGGGTTAAATATCGAGTAATGCCTGAGGTGCATACAAAATTTTATTTTTCATCGTTCCAAATAATGCGTTTCCAATATACAAATGTAATGATTATTGTTACTGCTTCATACGAATCAAGTAGCATCTTTTTTTATTACACAACTCCATCAATATATTTGACAGGCAGTTTGAGGGCATAATGGATTGTCATCTCATTATGCCCTCGGGCGTCATAGACTGCTTTATATATCTCATATGACAGATATAATTGGCATATAATAGGCAAATGAAAAATAAAGTCATTTTTAGAGAAGCTTCTGAGGCATTCCCCAAAGGCTCGCCTCAAAGATTCTAGGATTCTTTAGATATTTATTAAATACTCTTCAGAAATATTGAAATATACTTTTAGAGATTTCTATCCATATTCTTCAGAGATCCTTTCGAGATAGGAAGACTGTATCTTGGTCTAGTGTACAGTGCGCTGCGTTGGTGGAGCAAGCTCGCGTAAAACCTTGTCCGCATAAAAATTTCAGCAAACAAATTAAGATTCTCCAATATTTTTTTTCCCACTGATCTTAATATGTTTATGCATACTTTACGAATTCATGGTAGATAATTTTCTTATATTCACACATAGGTATATAGTATTCCGTTATATTTTAAAGCATCCGCAGAAATTCTCACTAATGATTCTCAGGAAATTCTACAGTTTCTTAGTTCTGAAATTCAGAATAAAATTGTGGTTAAGTGGCAACCTATCCCTACGGTTAGGCAACACACCGAAATGGCATTGCTATTTACCGAATTGCATTCTTACATGAGATACTTATGGCTATGGTGCCTTTATCTTTGTGAAATTAAGGGTTGTATACTTAGACCATATAGTACATGGACTGCTAATTGTAACTAAAATATGGTCAAGGACATCGCCTGGGTATGTGAGTTTCAGGGTAAACGAGTCTGTCCGAAATTGTCCGATTAGACACGATTTGAGACTGTCAACCTATAAATTAACAAACGTCAATTAATTAATCGCCTAGATATCCCAAAAAAAGCAGACTTATTCTGATTTGAGGACGTATAGTAAATAATGAAGAGTATTTAAAGCTTCCCGTACTACGCGGTTACTATAAAGCTGCTCTTTAAGCGATCCTAGTGGTGTTTACACGACCTTAGTTTACCCTGAGATTCACATACCCACGACTACAGTGCCCTCTATTCGTGACCATCCATTTTGTATTGAAAGCATAGGGCGAATAGCAGTCCATGTGTTGTATATCTTTAAGAACAATTTAGTAGGTAACTGTCAAGGAGAGTTATATAGATTTTATTATATACCTACATATGAACTCAGTGACATTGGATCTGATATAACAAATGCGGATACCCACTTGGTTTTACAATATAGATAGTCGCTGTACACCAGCACCCATGTTTCATTTTCTTCTAAAGTAATTGCTTCATTCATGGCAATAACTTTACTTTGAATAGCGTTTCCTCTTCGCTGTCGATTGCTCAAACCAAATTACCTGCGGTCAATCTTTATCTTTCTTTGGGTGCTGTTCCATCACATCAACCAAATTTGCTTCAGTAAGATTAACAGGTCTTCGACTTCGTCTCCTTCTTTGTTAGCTGGAGTACCTAGTTAATTTTTCGGTAGGTAAGTATTATTTCTTTGTTATTTACTCGTTACTCGAACAAGATTTCCAAAGTTTTGGGTAAATATTTCTTATTTGTGCAATGTGGATGATTAAAATCTTCAGTAAATGTCACATCCCTAAACTCGTTTGATTTATTTGGGACTGTGTAGATCAAAAGTTCGAGTGCGAGCAAATGCATGATATCCAAATAATACATCGTTCACCATCCAGTGCCAGACAAATGTACGTTGAAGTATCATTCATCAATCTGTAAAAAGTTTGGCATTCTCTTACACAAACTTCAAGCGATTGTTTTCATTTTATTTT